CTTCTTCTACGTGTGTACACCGTTTTGAGACAAGCATCTGCAGATGCTTGTCTCAAAACGGTGTACACACGTAGAAGAAGAAAGGCTGAAAGAAACACATTGAATTGACAGTTTTGAATATTCAGAATTGAATATTCAGATCTGAATATTTGCAAACAAGAAGTCTGGATTATTTAAGTACTTAGAATATGGTAGAGTCAGCAAAACAAGAACTGCAGACAATATCGTTCAAAGATGTCCTTTCCAAGACATTAGCATTTGTTAAAAAAAGCAACACCCACCTAGATGCAAGTGAACTTGATTCAGAAGTTGAAACAGAATTGCGTGATGAACAAGTTCATTAAAAGAAACGTATGGCAGGGGAACTCGCCTTTAATGAAATACCAGAGAATCCTCTTGATCGTTTCAGAATAGATGTTTTCCGTAGAGTAATTGATCAGATTACCACTAGCATAGATAAACGTTTCTCAGTTAACAGGGACATCGTTAGAGACACTGCGTGTTTAGATCCCAGACGTTTTAAAGAAATTGTTGAAAATGGTATTCCAGAAAACAGTCATGCAAAAATTCCTCAACTAACTTATCTTTGTTCTGAAAGATTGAGATCTGAATTGCATAGCATTACTATAAACTTTGGTAGGCTCTCAAAAACACTACGAGATGAATTTACCGTGAGTCCTAGTGACAAAGATTCAGAAGAATCGAATTCAGTCTCAGAGTTGGATACTTCAACAAAAGCAACTGAATATGAGAATGATAGAGATTTTCAGAACTTTGAGCGTTGTGTAGGGGTCTTGTAAAAAATGTTTAAAATGTTGCTGTAGTATTTATACAAATATTCGTTGAATGCAATTGCTTATTCAAATCTGTTTCTGGCTTACGAATATCTATTATCTGTGAACGAGCATTTAGTAAATTAAAAATTGTCAAAACTAGGCTGCGTTCCTCATTATGTAACGACAAGCTTGAAACATTTATGCTGATGTCGACCGAGAAGGACATTTTGGATTCAATTGCAGTTGAGGACGTAATTGGCTATTTGTGTAAGGATTCCGTAGAGTTATCAAAGATGATGCTTCTATAAATTACATTAGGAGATTGTAGTCAGTTACAGTATAAATACCAGATAAACCACAGGGTCTATTTTTATTTTTTATTTTTTATCTTAAATGATTTAAAAAGAGGTTTATTATTCATCTATCATAATAAATTCATCGTGTTATTATTATTATTGTTGTTATTATTGCTATTATTATTATTATTATTGTTATTATTGCTATTATGATTATCATTATCATTATTATCATTATCTACATAATTATCACGTATATTTCATACAAAAGTAAAATAACATACTGAATTATATTGTAAGCCTGAATGAACTTTGAACTTTGAAAGTGTAACATTATTTTACCTATTTATATTCAAATTAAAAAGACCTTTATATAAACACTAGCCTATTTTCTACCCCTATCCCGATCTTGTAACGCCCCTCCCCCTTCCCTTCCTGATAAAACTTGAAGCCCCTTTCCGCGCCTGCTGCAAACTATAAATATATTGCGGGGTTTTGCGGTATGGTAGTTCCACCACTGTATTCTAAGTATAATAATGATATTTATGGTATATTTTACTAAGTTTTATGTCGGATACGATTGTTATACTAAGGTGATATTCATAAAAAAAAATCATCTTTGTATAATTTTACCAAGCTTTATATCAGATAAGATTCTTGTGTGTGTATGTGTGTGTAATTTATATCGCCGTTAAAGAATGTTTACATTGCATATACATATATCAAAACTATTGGCTGGAGCAAGAAGAAGACATTTAAACATTTTACCTTATCGCTGAGCCCATATATATATAAAAATTTTACATAATTGTAACATATATTTATAAAAACATAAACCAGAATTAACTCTTTTGCGCTGAAACGGGTCGTAAACGACCCTGTAGTAATAAATCAATAGTTAAAAGTTTTTTTAGCAGAGCCAATAATCTACTTGATTTTATGCTTTATAGACATTAAAATTTTTTTTAAAACTAAGTTGTGAATAGTGGTATTGTGAATAGTGGTATTGTCCAAAATAGTTTTACTCAATCCAATATTTATTTTAACTCTTTTGCACCGACACGGGTTATTAACGACTCTGTAGTAATAAATCAATAATTAAAGGATTTTTTTAGCAGAGCCATCAATTAAAACTACTTGATATTATGTTTTAAAGAATAACTTTATGCTCAGCTTCAAAATTAGCCGTAATAAAGCTCCGCAATAGAAGTAAGGGGTCCATAAATTACGTCACACTTTAGGGATGAAGAAGGGGGGAAGCGGGGATGTCAATGGTTTATTGACAACTCATGCGTAGCTTGTTACTAAAGTGTCACGATGTTGTGACAAGGAGAGGGGAGGGGTCTCAAATGGTCGAAAATTTAGTGACGAAGTTTGTAAATGACCCCTAAGTTGACAGTTTTTTTAAGTGTTTGATTTTGATTAAATTTTTTTTTTGAAAATTCACGTGATTATAATGTCCGCAATCACTGATATTTTAATTTTTTTTTAAAGGTTCATAATGTCTATGAGTTTATCTATTAAAAAATATATAGTTTTGGAGTGCAAATTTGATGCCTTTTATGGTATAAAACTGTTTTTTGTGGTATTATATTTAGTTAAATTTTTGTGGTCTTAGCTAATTTGTTGATAAATTTTGATATCTTAAAGATTTTTAAGTGCTGAAGCACTCTATTTTGATCTATTTTTCTTACAGAATGCACAACGCAAAAGTCACGTGATCTTTGTATCATTTATTTCAAAAAAAGAGACATAATCTCTATTTATCTTTTTGAAAATATATAGTTATGGGGGTGTAAATATGATGCCTTTTATCCCATATATATCATTTTCAGTATAGTATTTTTATTTTTACTGTTTACAATTATTAAATATATGTACGAAAGAGTTAAAACAATTTTATACCCCATGTATAAAAATCGTATTTAGTATAAAACTTAGTAGGGTAGAGCGGGAATAGTTTAACAATTTTTACTAAATCTAACAGATCTCATGAACACTGCATCATAATTTTTTCAATATTTGAAATATTATTTAACCTGCTAATAACTTGTTAAGAAAAAAGTATAGCTTTATTTTTTCGAGAAGATATTGCCTAAAGTTTGCAGAGCTGCTTAACCTGCACCAGCGGGGTGAGTTGAGCAATCAACAAATAACTGATACGAAACTTGGGTGAATCAGCAATAAAACTTTTACAAATAGTAAACGTGTAACGATGTAGGTAAAAGATAAAAAATTAGTAAAAAAGTGTCATAAAATATAAAAATATTGTTTTATACAAATAGCTTGAACTTGAAAAGGCCCAATTTAAAAATATATATAATGCACAGCAAAATTATTTTCATAAAAGTTGTTTCTTTAAGTTCAATACTACTAGACAAGGTGACACATTAGTTAGGCTTTAAAGAAAACAGTAAGACTTAGGAAAAACCGGCTAATTCACTTAAGTGAAGGTAGATTAAAAATTTGTAAGCACACAAGAAAAAGACAACAAATTTTTTTTTTTTACTTTTTAGGTCCAAAATAAATAAAAAGTTCCTGCGTATCTTACTTAACTGCTTCCCAGCAATATTTTGTTGCGGATTGTGTCAACATTTTAATTCCCTAACTTTCATCCATTTGATGTTTTGCCATGTGATGCATTTTGAGATATATTTATTGTCCAACTTGTCCCCGCTCTACCCAAAGATATAGCATGTAGTACTACTTCGTATTTTAGATTATTAATCTCTCTTGAATAACAATCACATTTGACATGAAACTTGGTAAAATATAGCATATAATGTCAATTAGTTACTTAAAAAATTATATTACCTATGTATAACAGTTGTATATGATATAAAACTACTATTTTTTGACGGATTAGGTGCACTTTTATACTTAATCAATTTTTTCTATGGGTATATGATATTCTATTACGTTACAACCCTTTAATATCAGAAACACAAACCTTTGACATTAAGAAAAAAGACCTAAACTTTTGTTGGAATCCCACAATTTTCAATTGATAAATAGCTATTTTAATAGGTATAGAAAATCTTCCAGAAATCCTGTATGCGGATGCTTTTCGGAATCAAAACTATTTTTTTTAATAATCAGTTTCACATAATTATAAAGAAATACGAAGTTGATTTTAATATAAATGTTTAAATAAACTTAAATAGCCTTGCAATTACTTTGGAGCTGTCTAAATTGTTTTTATATTTTCAATCTTGAAAAACAGAAACAGGTTAAAGTACCACCACTTTTTACAATTGACAAAACATTTGAAATTTTTTTATCAATGATAAAAAAAGCCATAACAGCAGATTATGCTAAAAAATATTTATGCGTCATGCAACCCCCTCTCCCCCAATAGTAATAGAATAATACTTTTTTTCATTTTAAAATTTTATAAAAACTTAAAAGTAGCGTGGTATTAATAAAAAATAAAAGCTTTAATGTTATTCAAAAACCTACGCTAAATTCATTCTAAAAAGAAATAACAATAAATTATATTTAAAACTATAGAAACTGAAAAATGCCAAACAACTCAAACATTTTTGGAAAAAAATATTGCAAAGGAAAAAGTCAAAATATTTAAGATTTTTTCAAACATCGCAAATTATCTTAGAGCATAGAAATATCTGCATAATGCTTTAAAACAAAACAAAAAAGTTAATTAATAAATAAACAGTACAAGCTTTTAAAACTCGCACATAAACCATCAGTAATTATAAATTTTATACGTTTTTAAGTTATATTTACAATGAAAACTTTATTATAAGCGTTACACAAAATTGAAATAGAACTTAAAGAAGTAGAAATTACCTCAAAACCATTTTAAATCGAAGATTTGATAAATTTAATTCACAAAATGGTCGCTCAACACTTGGTTATTTTTTTAATCAGAATTATTGGGGAAAAAAAAAGAGGAAAAAAATCGAAATTTACCTGTTGAAGCCACAATTATATTTTTATTATATACATGCAATAATTTATTTAGTACCTAAGTCCAGTTCTTTTGCGTCCAGATTTATCTTCTGTCCATGATTTCGAACGTTTACTAAATTTTTTTAGGTCCTGCGCAAAATTCGGATCAGCCATTTCTTGATAAGATTCGGGCGTACAATACTCCTGTAAAAAAGATAACTTTAAACATAAATATAACTTTCACATTCAAATAGGGATATGGAGCTAAAAAAAGAATCTTTTTTTAGCTCCATATCCCTATTTGAATGTGAAAGTCGTTTCTGAAATTTTCTTTTTATTGAACTAAAGTGTTCTTTATCAAAGTTTTTAAGAAATGTTTTGATTTTACAAAGAGTTTATTTTACAGATTTTTTTTTAATATTATGCTTCAAACGTACGCTAAAATTATTTTTTTGTTAATTTCAATATTTATTTTCATTCAAAGTCTTTGGTATTTTATATATTTTTTAATATTATAAATCTTCATCTAGTAAAATTTCTAAAAATATTTAACTACACAAAGGAAAGATAATTCTTAGGAACTGTTCATAAATTAAGTCATGCTATACATATTGATGCTATATATACTTTATTATAAGGAGCTTTTCTTTGGCTTTTTTTGGAGTAATACTAATATAAATTATTTTATAATTGATATTTATTTAAATTTAATTAAAATAATAAAGATTTATTAAAATCTTTATTATTTTAATTAAACAGTTTAAATATATATGGGTGAAATCATTATATTTCAACCAATTTTGAGAAAACTTTGTGGGGCACCATTTCAGATTTTGCTGATTTTTACATATCATTATCTACATTATGTAGATAGATTAAATTTAAAATTTCAGACTTCCAATTTTTTTTTTTTTTTTCAATTTCAGATTTAAGAATTGTGAAAAAAGACTACTTTAATGCCACAAAACTTTTTTCTATCTTTCAACAAGTGGCTCATTTTTTCTAGTGTTTTCTGGGTAGTTCTGTATTAAAAATACTGTTTTTTTTTAACTTGTATCATATTAGAAAAAATTTATAGCCTCCTCAACTTCGAAAAAAAATTAAAAAACTTTAAAAAAGGCCAAAATGAAGTTAACTGTAAGACTTTTTTATAAGTTCTAAACTATTTAAAACTATTACTTAATAACTTTTTTTTAACAAAGTCTTTCAACCGAATTCTATTATACTGTTTTTGCAAAACTAATTAAAAAAACTTGATAAAACTTAACTATTTAATCACGACTTTTTTTTACTTGAAAATCGAAGTAGATATTCTAAAGTTGTTGTGACGTACTAACATGATTTTTAACAACTAACAATCGAGTTTCAATGGTAAAAAAGTTTGTAAAAAAATATATTTTATGATCTAATGTGAAAAAATATATCCTTATGATGTATTGTAAAAAGTAAAATGCCTCTTAATTGGTTGTTTTTTAATCTCAACTCAATAATCACATTTGGAAAACTATTATAACAAATTAGATTCATGAATCATTCAAAAGAACAATAGGTGTACAATAGCTCAATTTTATCAAAATGGAAAGTCTCTAAAAAGAATAATGGACTTAGACTCAAAAGTTCTCAAAAGTAGTTTTTTAATTAGTAATTTTCACCACTACGAAACCATTTGGGTAAAAAAATATGATAGCCTTTATAAGACAATAAAAAAATAAGAATATTATTCACAGCTGTTGACTCAAAAGCAGTTAGTATGCCTGGTATTTCTAGGCCTACTGTGAATAAATGACCTGATTTGTTGAAATATGCAGCATAATAGAATGTTTACATTGCAAAATAATGGTTTGCAGTGTAAATATTCTATTATATTTTATTGCTAATAATCGCAATTATAATAAATACAAAAATACAAACCTTTGAAATTATTTCCAATGGAGAGTTGTAGGTAGTTTTAACATGTAAGTTTATTTTTAGTAGCATGTTTTGAGATAAGTGTAAAAAAAAGAAATTTAAAAAATTCAAAATCCTCACTGTTTTATTTTGGCATACGAAACGACAGAGTTGTTAAAATCATAAAATAGCAATTACTTCTTAACGACCGGAAATTCACTCAAAGCTGTCTTTGTGTTTTGGAACATGCAAATTCGTCACCTAATTGTAGCGATTCACTTATATTTAATTCAAGTAAACAAAGTAAATTAATTTATTCTAAAAAAATGCCATAATAATTCAATAAATTTTTTACCAAAACGTTTTAAAACTTGCGGCAAAATCTCCTCTATTTCACCTAGAAATAATTCTTTTTATCTTTTAAATGCAAGAAGCCTTGCAAATAAGCTTCACGAGTTTAATTTATTTACTGAGGCAACTAAGCCTGCTGTAATTTGCGTTTGTAAAACATTTTTTTCTAGAAAACTATTTGATGCTGTTGTTTGTCCAAAAGATTATTCAATCTATCGTAAGGATTGCATAAAAATTGGCGGAGGAGTCGCTGTTTACTGTAAAAATGACATTAAATCAAAGCAAGTTCAAATTCTTTAAACTGATACTGACTGACAAAAATTGACTGGCAAAACTATGTATCTGAAAACTGAAAAGTGTCATAGTTTTTTTTTCAATTTAGTTAATAATCTTGGTTTGTTCCAATTTGTTGAAAAAGCCACTCGCAAAAACAATATTCTAGATCTCATCTTATCAAATAATATTTATTTGATAAGATGAGATCTAGATTAATAAAGATTATTGGAACATCTTCTCCAATCATCTTCCGAATGGTATAATCCATTTTGTTCCTATTAGAAAAATTCGTCCTATAAAAAAAAGAAATCACTACCCAAGATTTATTAGAAAAATGTTAAACCACAAAGCACTATTATGGAAAAGATATAGAATTACTGGATATAATCAACACAAATCAGCATATAAAAATACGCTAGTAAATGCAAAGAAGCCATACATACTCACCAAATGAGAGTTGAGCCATCAAATGATAATTGAGAAATTAATCGAAGAAAATAATATTAGTAAATTTTTAAATTATGTTAATAATAAACTGAATATCTCTAAACATAGCTACTCTTTAATTAATAAAAAAAATAATAACAAGTTAACTTCTAGTGACCAAGATGTCACTGATGTGTTTAAAAAACACTTTGGATGTGTTTTTACAGATGATAACAACTATTCTCCACTTATTAATATTCATGCAAAGGAATCACTAAGTATTGAAACTGTAAATTTTACACCAGAAACTGTTTATAGATCTTTAATTGAAATAAAACACATTATATGGCCCTGATGGTATACCTAATACACTCCTGAAAAAATCGCTTACTTGTAGTATATACCATTTTCATTTATATTTGATGCCAGCTTTAAGTTATGTTCTATACCTCGTCGTTCCCATTTTTAAAAATTGGTGCTTACTTAGGCCCATCTTACTAACATGCACTTGTTGTTGCATGGAAAAAATAATCAACTCATATGTTACAAAATATCTAACACGTTATAACTTAATTACTCCTAATCAGCATCGTTTCCTCAAGAAACATTCCACGTGAACAAATCTTTTAGAGTCTGTAAATGATTGGAGCTTTGCACTTAATAATCATTTAATTACGGATGTTGTATATATTGATTTCCGAAAGATATTTGACTCACATCGCAAACTATTAGTTAAACTTGCATCATACGGTATTAGAGGAAACATTCTTAATTGGATTGACGCTTTTCTCTCAAATAGATATCAACAAGTTGAAATCAATACCTCACTATCAAATATAATTCGCATTTTTAGTGGCGTTCCACAGGGTAGTGTAATAGGACCAACACTATTTTTACTATATATTAACGACTTATCTAACATAACAAACAATTTTAATTGTTCTTTAAAAGTTTTTGCGAACAAAGTTATATAGTTCTTATCGTGACATGGACCATTGCCGAGATTTAGCTCTAGCTCTAAATAGGCTCGTACTCTGGACTGAAATGTGGCAACTAAAAATTGCTAGCAATAAGTGTTTCGCTGTGTGTGAAACCTAGGATTGCACCTCCTTCACTATGCAAAGGTATAAAAAGTAACTATAGTCTAGGGGATTATACTTTAGCTTGGTCTTCTAGCCCAAATGATCTAGGAGTGACAATGGACTCTAATCTTAGCTACAATAAACATATTGCAAATGTTGTACATCAAGCTAACTCTAGAGCATGCCTAATTTTGAAGTGTTTTAAAACTCGCGAGCCTTATATCTTAGTAAGAGCTTTTACTACTTATACAAGACCAATTCTTAATTATTGTTCTCCAGTTTGGCCACCATACTGAATTGGATTAATTAAATCAATATCTTCGATGTTGACAGCAATAACTACACTCGCCATCATATTTATAAAATTTGAAAACAATATTGTCGCTTAGACACTTAAAAGTATAGTTTTTCTTCCAGAGTTGCTGACACCTGGAATAATTTGGATGCTGTACACTCAAAAAAATATTTCTATATTTAAAAAAAAATTAACTCATCCAATTTAAAAAAACACTGTTTATTATGATTGTTACATTTTTGTGATGGTACACTTTTAGTTTTTATAAGGGCACGCCGTTAGTGTCCATCTTTTGCATGGACCTACGTGTCCTTTAGAAAATCTCCTTGTTCTAACAAATATATAATAATAATCATAATAATGTTAGTATATGTCGATATAGCTATTAAAACCTATCATAACATAAAGTAATTACTCAAATAAAAAAAAACTATTATTTGACCATTTAACAAAATAAAAAATATTTATAGTACAACCACGACTCTTAACCATAACAAGAACTCAAGCTTTTATGCATAAGCCATAAAAAAAAAACTAGTCTCTTAATTTTTTACAGAAAATGGAACAAATCAGTTTGTATAATTTAAGTAGGCTGTGTACAACCCTTGACTACAATAATAATATACAATTTTAATTAGAAGGCTCTAATTGATAAAAACACATGAGCATTGCGACTTTAACTGATGTAAATCTACTTCAAAAATAATAAAATCAATTGAAGAGTTAAAAGATCAATTTTAAGAAATTCCATAAGATTCAAAAAAGAAACAAAAAGTTTTTCCTAAATTGAAAACTTTATTCTTCACAGAATATCTGCCACATGGAATTGTCTTCAACCATCCATTGTACTCTTTACATTGGTGAACATTTGCCTAAACATTCAAAAA